GTATCGACAGGATCTACAAATTTCGTTTAGACTTCGTCTGCCAGTTTTGACTTTTTTTTTAAGTTATATTTTAACAGGCTTAAACAAGTAATGTCTGTTAAAAACTCATAACTTTGTCATCCGATATCCGTTTTCGTCTGTCTTTATATCATTAAGCTCAAATTTAATGACATCTTCAATTCTCATTTAGTTTTTGTCGGCTAAAAATCGATCGATCTATAATTCGATTTCCGGACTGTGCACTGCTGTGCTAAATCTTAGAAAAATCATAACCTCCTCATACGAAGTCAGATTTGGATGTTCTCTATATGCACGATTTCGGTGTAACTTTTACTACGACTTTCGTTTAGGTCGCTAAGGCTAAAAATTTGTTTCACAAAAATTTACTTTTTACGTTATGCGGTGTCGTGCGGGTTTAACCGTAAAACTTCAAAGGGTCATAACTTCTTTGTTATAAGTCGGATTTTAGAGTTCTTTATATGTATGGAACCCTTGTGACATATACTATAACTTGGTTAAGATTATTTTATCTAGATAATCTTCTATAAAAAGTAGTTTTTGACGTTTATTGTCTTTAAATTGACTAGCATGAATCTGGACATTACATTTATGAATAGGAGTTGTGTGCTTGAATGGGAACACTTATTCGGAAATCAAGAATGAAGCAAAATCAGTAATCGGAATTGACAAATCAGACATGTGCAATCGGAAAATGTTGCAATATGGGTCTTGATCAGAAGATGACCGGAACAAGTAAACTCACTGATTTAATTTCATAATTGAAGTCTGCAATCGGAAGTGTTATTAGAAATTTTAAAAACCGAAATCGGAATTGGTAATAGAAATTGGAATCTGAAATCAGAACACCATTTTGGTCTTAGTCTTCGCCATTGGAACATCATCTGAAATCGGAACTTGCAGGGGTGATCGGAATTTCACAGGCTTCGGGGATTAATTTTGTTTACGAACGTAATTTTTGGAATCAACTGATTTTGACTTTTCATGGTCAACGTAGCGTCGTTGTTCCGATCAAATAAAGAAGGTGGTTAAATTTCAAGTTCAGTCCCCAGAGTTTATACATTTTGGCAAATTTAACCCCAGATCCTAATTTCTTTCAACTTCTTGGGTTTTACCACTTTTACCCTTTCTACCTGAAATATTTTTATTTCTTATCTTTTTCTTGGTCTAATTCTTTCCAAATCCTTCTAATATTTTTTTCTTATTCTTTTAATTTTTTCTAAACCTCAAAATCTCGAAAATTTATAAAGAATTTATTTCATCATTTGTTCAAATCTGATGGGTTTCGAAGATCCATATTAGCTAACTTACTCTTTGAGATAGAGTAGGTTTCTAGAGATCCATATTAGCAATCTTGCTCTTTGTGATAGAGTAGGTTGCTAGAGATCAATAATTGCAAACTTACTCTTTGTGATATAGTAGATTGTTGGTGATTCTTCTTAACTTTTCGGATTCTCTCCATGGTATTTGTTGAAGATTCAAGGGGGAATGTTGATTATTCAAAGGGGAGTTCACATTTGGAATATGATATTTGATTCTCTCTCTTTGAAGACCCCTTGTTTTGATGAGTCTCACAATTTAGGGGGAGTAATGCCAAGAAGATTCAAATCGTGATCTTCATCGGTTTCAACATCTAGGGGAGATTGTTGAGTATTTGAGATATTGAAACTGATTTGGCATTTTTGTTAACTATTGAAGACTTTTTCAGGTTTTGTATTTTTGGTAAATGTTTTATTTTCCATATATATAATCATTAGCTTAGATTGATAGGTAAGCTTTTCCTCAAAAAGTTCTTTGTACGTCCTATTTCCAAATCAATGATATACAAAAACTTTAACAGATTACTTGCAACTTTATGGTAATTGATTCATGATTGTTCTTTAGATTCCACACTCATCATCTCGTTTTTCATCCCAACATGATGAATTTGGAGCCAGAATGATCACAATTGACAAGAAACCAGTAAAACTTCAAATATGGGACACAGTTTGTAAATGTATCTTTCTTTTTATACCCTCATACAGTCAATGAATTCACTCATTTTCTTATTTCTATTTCTATTTTGTACTTAATCAGGCTGGTCAAGAATCATTCAGATCTATAACAAGGTCTTACTATAGAGGCGCTGGTTTATGACAGACAAAAGGTTTTGAGGTGTCTACTGAGGTGGAATTTCTAAATAAGAAAAGTCTTATTCTTGGCATAGAAAATAAAGCACTAAAACAACGGTTGGAGTGTTCTATCTTAATTGTTCTCTTTCAAATATCATTTCTATGCTTTTGTCATGTAACGTACTTTTCACCATCTATCAACTTTCTTAATATGAACGATCACTTCTTGGACAATATTCCAATGTTAACCATGACTAATCCAAACACAGTTAATTAGAAAACAAAAGTCATTCTAACCCATGTGGAGCATGGGATCTACACTAGTTCATCATTAATCATTCGATTTGCCTAGATTTATAATTTTTAATCTAGATTACTTTTTGATTATGTGTATTTCTGCTTTAATCATGGGCTAATAAGCCTTTACTCACGTTTAGATGACATGAACCCTAATATTATGTGTTAGTTTCTACTTTGATAGATTAATGATGTTGGTTTTAGCTTGTGTTTGATAGATCATTATCCTAGCCTGATAAAGTTTCAATCTTTGTTGCTTCGCCTTTGAGTTATGTGTAGTTAGAACATCAATTTAATTACATGAACTTGTTTCCTAGTTTTTTGTGATCATTCAATTTCTAGAGCTAGTGATTGAACAAATCATAGTATAGGTGGTAAAGTTAGTTGCTTAAACTATGCTAGAGAACATTATTACATCATAAGATGTGCTTGATTATTTGTCTTGATCATAGATATATAATTCTTAGATCTATTCATTCATAGTCCAAATATATCTTTAAATCAGTTTGATGTTCTTAATTTGCATGATCATTGTAGTTAAAGTTCATAAATTGATATATGCTAGCTAATCAGACAAAGATAACTAGTAATCTTTAATTTGGTAACCAACATAATTAATCCATCGTCTTGAAGTTAAACATAGGAAAAAAAGGGACTCGAAGCTAAACGGAAGTATCTTTTAAATCTTGATTAAATCTCGTTTTCTAATTGTTTTCTTTAGTTTGAAGTGTTTTTAGTGATTGTTTTAATTAAGTTTCTCTGAACTTGAAAAATCAGATAAAAACCCTTATTTAAAGTTTCATTCTTTAGTTTAATTTTTAGCATTATTTTAATTAGAATATCGTTTCAATATGATCGATTCCTTACTTATTTTAGTTCACTACTACATGATTAAATACACTGTCTATTATATTTTAGGTGAGTCAAATAATGAGGATATAAATTTAAAGATTCTTTTCAAACACGTCTACATACAACCACATCCAACTACAGGGTATATTGTTGCCATTTTACCAAATTAATGTTTCATTGTTCCATTTTAAGAAAGATTCACATGTGCCAAAATTGGTAACTCATAAAGTTAAGGTTCGTTTAACTAATTCACCAAAACTTCATACGAATATGTGTGATATACTATACATCAATAAAAATCAAGATAACAACCAAACCAAATGAGATCCAATGGCTCAATACGACTAAGATCCAAAAAAAGGGATAGGGACATATTGTTGCTTTGTGTTCTTTCTTTTTCTTTCCCAAGGTGCTTAATTTACTAATATCTTCAACAAAGCAATAAAGTTATTAATACATGATTTCAAACTTTATAAAACATTTTATTCAAATAATATGAATAAAGTTTGTTTCGTTCTCAGTTTTAATTTGCTCTTAGATTTTAAATCAAATTAACCCGGAGGAACCCATATTTTATATATATATATATATATATATATATATATATATATATATATATATATATATATATATATATATATATATATATATATATATATAAAAGATCGGGTGAGAACTTTTTCTAAAATGAGGATTTGTAAGGACATCTTAAAACATTGAAAAAAAATATAAAAATCATAAAATCGAGCATAATACTACATCGGAGAGAATAAATTTTGAAAAAAAAAAATTGGATTATTAAAATTAAAGCATAGATCATTTTTAGATCAATGATTCAATTTTTATGATTCGTGATTCAATTTTAATAATGCAAAAAAAAAATCTAATTTTTTTCTCCCAAATATAGTACTATGCTCGATTTTATGATTTTGTATTTTTTTAGATTTTTTTTTCAATTTTTTTATAGTGTCCTTACGAGTACTCGCCGAAAAAAGAGTCATCATCAGAACCCAACTATATATATATATATATATATATATATATATATATATATATATATATATGTATGTATGTATGTATGTATGTATGTATGTGTGTATGTGTGTATGCTTAGGTTATTCTATTTAAACTAATTATTGTGTTATTATATGCATAAATATGGGCCAATCATTTTACTTATTTTAAGAAAGTGATTAATACATATTATTGAATTAAAGATAATTAAAAAATACCATCTAATTTCATTCTAAGGGTATTTTAGACAATTGAGATAAATTTAAAAAAAAAAAAGGAAACTTCCATATTTTTTGGGATAATGAACTCTCTTGATATTAAAATTCTAATTTTTTAATTACTTTAATTTTAATTATAACGTAATTTTTATAATTAAACCCGAGTTTATTCAGTTAGAATGTCATTCTATTAAAATCATATTCTTTAGAAATTTCAGGATATATATATATATATATATATATATATATATATATATATATATATATATATATTAGAATGATATTCTATTAGAATGTCAACACCGACTAATAACAAATATTTGTATACAACTTCAAATTTTTCATTACATTCTTAAAAATGTAAAAACTTGATATAATAGTCTATGACAATGAAATACTCACTAATAACAAACAAAACCATGTATATTATTCAACCTGAATATTCTAGGAGAATATATTATTACATATACTCTTATTATTCTATTGTAGATTATTCTATCAGAAGAATAACTATTTCCTTTGTGAAGACTAGTGACAATTGTTCAGCCATCATAAAATCTTCAAGCCCTTTATCATCAATGAAATTAGACATTTTACAAAATTAACTGCCATGAATCAAAAGCATGTAATAATAATATGTGGACTTGTGAATTGCACCAAAACCAATAACCAAGAATTGTAGAACATGCATAAATCAGTAAGAAAATATCCACACTTCCTTCCAACAGAATTAGAATTCATGATTCCATTCCAACAGAATTGGAATTCGTTATTCAATTCCAATAGAATTGGAATCTCACCAATATCATCCATTGAATCATCTACATAAACAAATTAATTTTTATCATATAAGAAGAAGAAAATTTGATATCGAAATAGTGACAAACTACCTTCACTTTCAAAATAGTCAAAATAGTGGTCAGATTTATAAAGTCTTTTAAAGATATAAAATGATGCCAAGAAGTAAAATGCATTTATAGTGTTACCTGCAAAGTGGAACTTTACGGGTTGAAGCAGGTAGTTTGCAGATGGAAGAATGGAGTTTGAAGAGTTGCCACAGCCTTTTACACCTAACACACCCTACATTCATTCTTTTCTTACAATGTGCCACGTGTTGAATCGAGAGTTACAGGCCTTGACATGTTGAGAATTTGCTACATGGATACATGTTCTTGGTGGGTTCTTCGTTGCATGGTCCTACACTTATGCAACCTTATGTGCAAATATATTCTGAACAATACATGGCTTCACTCAACTGAAGATACAAGTTTTGTTCTTTCCTACGCTTCTTCTTTTCTTCCTCAGTTGCACATTAATTTAATCGGAATCAATAATCAGATAGAAAGCAATTTATTAAACTGATTAATGTTTGATTTGTTGAACATAGACATATAAACTTTTTTTTATTTGTTATTAAGACCACTTAAAGAAGAAATTAGTTTTAACAGAATACTCACCAATTCAGATTCATCGATGACCTGGAGGATTTCGAGCTAGAGGAAAGGATCATTGGTTGAAGAAACTTCCAGCGTTCAGTTTTCTCAACAGATTTGAAGATGTTAGACACAAGTTTTACACATTTGAGGTGAAGATCAGGTTCGTTAGATAGTCTCGCAAGTTGAAGAACATCAACTACGTTCTCAATTGTTAACCGTTCGATCAAGGCTTTGCTACAACGCGATTTGAATTGTGGGACCAGATAGACATGAAAAAGCATCAATAGATGAATCCCAAATTTCTCCATGTCGTCTTTTATACACATGAAAACGATGGCGTTTTAAAGATAAAGCATTTCCATCTCTAGGGTTTGCCAGGATTGCTCAGCTGTAATACTCCTCAGCCCTCGAGAAATCACCTCGCACCTGTTTGAATGAATCAATCAGATCAAAATTGGCCAATAGATCGGAAGCCAAATGAAACTTGATCCAGTAAAAGAAGAAATTGAAATCCGTGAATGATGAATATTGTAAATTACCTCAGGTATTTCGCATAATTGCTGAGAATCAATGAATTACCTCAGGTAAATTACCATTACAGCCACCGCCTCCACATATCTTTCCACCACCATCGCTTCCACCGGTGTGCAGGAAATCCTATGGCCATCCCGCACCTCTGCGTTGGTGGGATTGAAGTTAACGAGGAAAAAGGGATGGTGGAATGGTTGGTTATGGAAGAGAATTTAGAGAAAGGAGAAAGAATTCTGAGTGGCGAGATGAATTGATTTCGTTCTTCAATTTTACCGGTGGAGAAGTGAAACACGATTGCTCGAATCACAACATCAATCCTTATAAATCTGGTGGTGTTGACCAAAATTATAGGGACTATTTGTGGAAGCTATTTATCAAATTACTAAAATATCCTTGTTTATTTATTTAATTATTTAAATTTTTATTTAATTTTGATTGGTCCACATTTATGCATACAATAACACAATAATTAGTTTAAACACCTGAACTTATCTCTCTCTCTCTCTCTCTTTCTCTCTCTCTCTCTCTCTCTCTCTCTCTCTCTCTATATATATATATATATATATATATATATATATATATATATATATATATATATATATATATTCAAATGAGAACAAATATATAATTCAGAACGCAAAAAAAAAATTAAAATTAAAATTGAACCATTAATTTAAAAAAGCCTCATTTTTAAATTAGATAAAGATATTTTCATAATCATTTTTTTTTATGTTTTCGTTGACAGCTAATCTAATTAAAGTTTTTAGATTCATCCACATCATTGATTTTTCATCGAAAGTCTTCAATTATTCATCTAAAATAACCGATTTATTATTAAAAAAATGATTTTTTATCTGAACCATTTATTCATAATAAAAAACCATCGATTCCTAAAACCTAGAACCATCAAAAAGTCCATATTCAAATATCTAAAAAAGTGGTTACAAATTACCCAAATTTATCAATCTTAACATCTTCTAACTTTCTTTATTTATCAAATTTCATCAATCAAACCTTAGTCAACATCACACAACATCAATGATAGAAATACGTCAACAGAACCATACAATCATTAGATTGTTCACAACCTTAGTCTTCATTTAAATCAATTGTGCAAAATCTAGTTTTTCATAATATTTGATATTTTCAATTATTTTTCCTCTAGTTATAGGTTAATTGTTTGTATTTTGAGTGGAGATTTTATCATAGTTATAGATGTTAACTTGTGTGCACACCAAATTTTTGATTAAATGCTCCATGGATATCTGTTTGTATTTTTTGCATGTTATTCACATATGAATAACATGTAACCTTGCATCGTTATATGTTATTCACATAGGATTAGAAGTTGCAAGATGACGATGATTTGACTTTTATTTTGTATTTATGGGGAATATTTAACCATGTTTATTTAAGTCAACTCATATGGACTCCAACCATTATATGAAATATTTCATCTAATGTTGTTGTATATTTATAATTTATTCACATGTGAATAACATATAACCTTACATCTTTTATTTGTACATTTATTAACATATATTGTGTAAATATATATTTTCATTTGAATAGTACATTATATATTTTGTTTATTTGGTATATTCACAAGTCAAGGTTTATTCATATGTGGATGTTAAATAATATATTTTGTTTATATGTTTACATTTAAATATAATTTTCATATGTTATATAATATATTAACATGTGAAACTTACATAATGTATTCATATGTGAATATAGGTTTATATGTGAATAACATATATTATTCGAGAATGACATATCTCCATTCTCTATTATAAATGAATCGAAATCAGATAACTTACAATGAAAATCGATTGAATGACTTATTTTGATGTGTGCTCCGGTTAAAGTATTGAGAAACTAGATGTGTTGGACATTTAGAACGCTCCGTGATGTAGGGAACTTAATCATTGTTATTTTTTGGAAACGACAAACGAATTAAGTGGAAGCCTACTCGTAATATTTTAACGAGCATTCCGGGATCAAGCTCCTTTACATGGCAAACTCAGCTCCCGTAGAGATTTTTAAGGAAAAATTCCCCTCATGTAGCATCACAAAAGATAGTTTAAGGGAATCGAACTCCCAACCTCACACCTCACATGAATATAAAACTCGATGCATCCAACGCGACATCGCTTGCGTAACCATTGTTAACCATTGTTATGATACCTAATAATATCTCCGGCTTTTTAAACTATTAACTTGAATTAGTTTGAGACCAATTATTTTCCACAAAACTTTATGAAACTCTGAACTATTGGTTTTAAAGATTTAAAACATGCTTTTAAATACTACTTTAAAATCAGATGGTGAAGGGTCTTATAATAAAAGATATTAGAAAGGGTATAACAATAATTTTATATGGTTTGGGGCCAACTACGCAATTAGTTGAAAGCAAGGTCCGTTTCTATCAAGAAGAATAGTTATAGACTAAAAAATGTGATGTCTTATAAAATGCAATGACCATTTATGTACTTTTTTTTCTTATTAGTATTTTTTAGTATCTTATACTCCACAAGCCCTAAAAATGGGCCCATCTAATCCTTATGTTTCTGATCGAATAAGAGTCTAGATTCATTCAATTGGAAAACAAACACCCACTAAATACTAAATAATGGAAAAATACAAATAAAAAGATTCACGTCCAAATTCTAATCGAGTTATTTGAGTTAAAAATAAAGAAAAAAAAACTTTCAAAAAAGTTGCATTTACGCTTAATGTTACATGACAAAACACAAAGACATTGTATTGTCTGAATTTGGTCGATTTATATACTTTTTTCACGATGATGAAACAAGACGAGAAAAGGATTTAATTCCATTTCGTCTTTTAAAAAATGTAAATGCTGTCTCAACTTCTTCATCAAAAATAATCTTTGAATTATTTTTCCATTTAAATAGATTCAAGTTCGATTTATCTTTCGTAACAAGCATATCCTCGAGGCAATCTAAATATGCGTTTAATTTGGAAGGGCTTTTAAAATGGCAACCACCGTAGGTTCTTTGTTATTTCTTAGTGGTCTTCAGAATTGTAAAACAATACAAATCATTCGTTTCGTTTGATATTTTGATAACAAGATATGCATGATTCGGATTTAAGCTTTTTGTTTTTTTGTGTTATTATTGTCAAGTCAGTGTCACATTACATTTGTCATACCTTTTTGATTTTTTGTCATTTAGGTTATTCGGAATGGACAGGTCTCCACGCGTGAACTGCTTACATGGAGGGTCTCTCCACGCGTGAACACCGCTCCCATCTTTGGTGGGTTGGTTGTGGACAAGGATGGAAAAAGATGAAGAAGTTGATTGGTTGGTCAATTTTCGACCGTTGAAAGCATTTAATGAAAAAAAATTATGTTTTTTATTTTTAATTTACTTTTTCTATATATACATCAACTAGGTGTGAGATCCGTATGTTATACTGGTTTGTAAAACAAAAGTTAAATATAAAAGTGTAAACAAAAGTTAAATATAAAAGTGTAAACAAAATTTTATTTAAATTTAAAATTTTAGACTTAAAATTTAAAATTTAAAATTTATATTTAAAAGGAAACATATTAAATATTATATGAGTATCAATATTGTAATTTATTGGTTATTTTTAATTAAAGTAATTATTAATTGAGGTGTAAATATGATGTGTTAATTAAGAAAAGATAAAAAAAAAATGGCAAATAGAAAAAATATTTAATCAAAAATACCATAAAACGACATGTGTCCAAGCTAATGAGAGATTGACATGTGGCAAAATTATTTTCATTTATTAGGAATGATTTTATACATATTTTTCAAAACAAAACACACAAACTCTTTCAAACCAAACACACACATTCAACAAAAAAGTGGATGACGATTCTGATGACAAGTTGGTATTGCACACACTATTGTTTGTGGCACAAGACATGGTTCGTGAGAGATGTGAAAATTCATACAGTGAGAAGAAGCATAGAAAATGGATCAACCGGGATCGAGAGGCGGCAAATGAACTTTTGGTATGTGATTATTTTGCCCCTAATAGTTTATATAATCTATCGAAATTTGAAGAACGTTTCCGTATTAGTAGAAATTCATTCTTACGTATAACTAGAGTTTTGGAATGTAATTATGAGTTTCTCCAATTATGATGGGATGCTAAAGGTAAACGTGGTTTACTACAATACAAAAATGTACGACCGCTTTTAGACACTTGGGATATGGAACAACCGTAGACGCATCAGATGAGTATTTGAAAATGTTTGAGAGTACGGGTCGAGAATGTACACATCTTTTCTGTGAGTGTTATAGAGCTTTACCATGACATATACTTGCGACATCCGACTAAAAGTGATGTCGAACAGTTATATGCCGTTCATCAAGCTAAACATGGTTTTTTAGGGATGCTTGGTAGTATTTATTGTACACATTGGGAGTGTGTAAATGGTCCCAATGAGTAGTGTGGTCAATTCACACGAGGTGATCATGGGGTCCCAACTGTTCTATTAGAGGCGGTTGTTTCACATGACCTATGGTTTTGGCATGCATTCTTTGGTATAGCAGGGTCCAACAATGACCTGAATGTGCTTCAAGTGTCTCCGTTATTTAACAATATTTTGCATGGTAAAGCACTAGACATGTCATTCGTTGTGAATGTAAATGAATATAAGTATGGGAATTACCTAGGTGATGGGATATATCCAAAGTATGCTACAATTGTCAAGTCATATTCATTTCCAGCCGATGAAAAACGAAAATTATGTAAGTTAGGACAGGAATCTGCACGGAAGGATATGGAACGAGCGTTTGGAGTCCTAAAACAAAAATGACACATAATCAAACATCTGACACGAACATGAGATAGGGAAAAGCTAATGGCAATATTGACTGCTTGTGTTATTTTACATAACATGATAATAGAAGAAGAGTGCATGGTTATTTGTTCATATACCGGGAATGATATATTAAATCTACCTACAGAAATACAAGTTGGCAGTCCGACATACTTCTCTAGGGTTTTGGAAAAACAAAACCGTGAAACACATCACAATCTACGTCACGGTTTGACCGAGCACATATGAGAAAGACAATTCCAAGGGGGATTAACGATGAAAACGAAAAGGATGAGGACGGTGACGACGAAGCGGATGAGGACGGTGACGACGACGAGTAGTATTTCTCTATGGTTTTTTATGTTTTTTTAATTAAGTAGTGTAATGTTTTATATGTTATGTTTTATGTTTATTTTAGTAATTTAGGTTTTAAATTTCTATGGTTTTATTTTTTTTGTGTTTTCAAAAAATTTATTTATGTTATAAATTATGTTTTTTATTTAATATAATGTTACAAAAATAAAAAAATAAAAAATATATATTTATGTTATAAATTATGTTTTTTATTTGTTATAATGTTACAAAAAATTAAAAAAAATAAATAAATGAATATTGTTAGTGGTAACCATTTTCAATGTCTAGTGGGTTGATGGTGAAGCTAATGTGGTTTAAAGGTGACAACACTTTTTCGGTGTATTAAACGTGACCATTCCCCACATTCTTAATGGAAATAAGTTGTGTAGGCAGGTTTTTTATTTTTTTATATTAATTCAGAGGGAAAATGTCACTTTAACACAATGAGCTTATGTGTTTTGTTCGATTTGATCAATTATGTTTTTTTAGTCCAATAGGTCATTTAATTTTTACTGTACATGTTAATCAAACCATTATCGTTAGTTTTTTTTGGAAAGGGAACTTCCCTAACGAGGGTTTCTGGGCCAGCTTTCGCGCACCAACTAATCCCCCGTTGCAAACATAAAGCTTTGTTTCATGCCCTGGAGTCACTGCAGGCGAACCTCTATGGCCACAAGGGTTGAGTGGTGTCAGGATCTGAACATGTGTCAATAGGTTATCCACCATATCTTCCACATGCCTTACCAAGTCACCACAACCCAAGTGGTTACCATTATCGTTAGTTTTTAACCATTCATCCGTTAACTAGTTATCCAAATTACATGAATGACCCCTATGATTTAAATTTATTTCATAGTTTGTCCCTCACCATGTTTAAATTAGACTACCAAAATTGTCATATTTTTGAAACTTTGGGAACCAAAGTGTAAATGTGCTTATTATAATGCCGTTGGAATTTATGAGGGTTGTGCTTATAATGTTTACCAAATTGTTATTTAATTGTTTGGTTGTTTTGTAAACATCATGAGGAGCATCAAATGAGATTTCTCCGTTGTCGACATAATTAATCCGACCATCAAAAGTGATGTTTCTCGTTGGTCCATTGTTGAAGATGAAGGGATCATTAGGTGTCCAGGTTCTTCTTAATGTGTCACAATCTATGTTAGATTGTTTGTCCTCCAATGTTAACTCTATGGATTAGGTTGAAAGCATAATCTAATGCTAACTTCTCTAGATCACTAATTCTTTTGGCAGGTGAAATACGTGGAAAAGTGGAGGAGGACCGGAATAGATTTGATGGTGTCGTGAAAGCTTCAATGCCGTTTACAAACATAGAAGGTGAGCCACTGGAAGGTTTAAACTCGATTGTGAACTTATGATTAGATGCAATCGGGAATATAAATTCTCTAACCGCAGTCGTGTTTCCAATGCTAAAACCATAAAACAGAGAAAACCTGAAGACAAAAACGTCGAGTTTCGAATTTGAAAATTCGAATCCATTAGTAGAAAATTGGGAAAAGTGAAGGTGTACCATTATGAAAGGGTTGATTTCATTTGCTTCGAGTTCATACCATGATTTCTTAGTGAAAACTCTTGTTGTTTGATAGATAGTCGATGGGTCGGTTGTCAGATTGTTGTTTTCTGTGGTCACATGGCCACCGAAGATGGAGAAAGTTGGGGGTTAACGTCACCGACAAATTTTGTTGGTGAAATCGATCTATTTGGTTTTAGTGAATAGCCAAAAACTAAGGAGAAAATGCCAGAGATGGAGTCTTCTTCGTGCATGTGTCTCGATTTGTGACCGATTGGTGGGTTAGGATAAAGAAAAATCATTGACAATGCAACAACACTTTACTCTTTTTGTGACTGGTTCTAGAAAAGAAGAACAAATTTATGTTGTTTTTTTGTCACTTTGGTCCCAGAGTTTCAAAAATGTAGCATTTTTAGTCGTGTAATTTAAAACATAGCTGGTAAGGGACCAACTATCAAAGAAATTTATGTCATAGGCATTGGCGGATGTAGTATATATCCCGGGTAGCTCTGGATACCCATCAAAAAAGTTTCAGTAGTGTAATTTTTTCGGATTTTTTTTTTTCGTATTGTGTATTATGCGATGTTTTTGTCGGATACTTATTTACTTTGATCTTGGGTTCACCACTGATCATAGGGGTCATTCATGTAATTTAGAGTAACGGGTTAACATATGAATGATTAAAAACTAATGATAATGATTTAATTGATATGTACAAAAAAAATTAAATGTCCTATTCTGTAGAAAAAAAAAACATAATTGATCAAATCGAACAAAACACCTAAGTTCATTATGTTATAGTGACCTAATTTAAACAAATAATTTATTATCTATATTATTTTGAACATTAAGTTAAAACTAAGAAAGATAATAATAAAAATAAAGATTATTAATTAATTGTACGCTATTGTTTGGACTCTTTGACAACATTTTGAAACTCTAAATATTAGAAGTGTTTTTTTTCAGAAAATTTAAAGAGTTTGGTTTAAAACGTTTGAAAATTTTTCACCATCATTTTCATCACCTTGTCAATTGTGTTTCAAGTTATTGAACGAAGCATTACACTGTGCGACTTTGTTGGTATTCCTTTATTTAGTATAGATATGATCTTTCTTTCGGTGCTCGTCTTAATGCATTTCGTTAAGGAAACATGTGGTAACTTTCTTCCGAAAAGCTGTCTCATCGTTGCCCACTAAAGGATCGTACAATACATCAACACATACACGGGTCAAAGCCGCCTCTTATATCGGGTTCCAAGTTACAAGAGGATTTCCCTATGTTAGTGGAATCGGATTAGGAGTTTGAAGAATACATTTGCAAATATAGAATTGAAGGAGCTAAGATGAGTGTTGAAGGCTTATAGAATGGTATGAATTTGTTTGAGTTGTTGGTATTTATTTAGAAATAAGTTGGTAAAATTTTGAATTTTGTGATTAGAAAGCGGTAAAAAAAAAGTAATAAATATGAAATAATGAAGAGAAGAGAGAAACGACAAATTCTACTAAACTGGATCCCGAACTCGGCTACTAAGCTGATGGGGAGATGAACACCGAGCCACATCAAGACATGCCGAGTAGCATGTGGTGCTACTCCAGCAGATTCAAATAAAATAAATACAATTCTAAGTCTATTAAATATTAAATATTAAATATTAAATATTAAGTGAAACAGATAAAGATAACGAATAGTTCAAACATAAAGAATAGGATGAAAACTGTGACAACTTTTTTTGTGCTTGCCGGTTTAGTAAGATTAGGAAATCATGTGGTATGGTTTTTATGCAATTGCTTGTGGGCTTAGTAGGATATCATAACTAATAATAAGTGGGCAACCTCATCTTAACTTCTGTTATCTTCCATCAATCACTTTTTATTTTTAATGATAAAAACGTAGTAATGATTTCATATTTGAAAAATAAAACAAACATTGTTTAAAATGTAATAAATTAACTATACAGAACCTTTATAAATTATAATGAGTTATATTAAGATTTACGGTAAATTCTTAAAAAAGTTGTTCATCGAATGTTTGATTTTGACGGTATATTTTCTTTTTCAAATTGGATACTGTGTTTTCTAATTTTTTACAATTTATAAAAACTTAACCGTTTAACTTTGTTGTCTAATGACGAGACATAAAGACATGACATAATGATATGATATGTTGACGTGTCAAAAAAAAAATTACACAAAAAACACTAAATTTTCAATTATTGTTTCAATTAAGTTTTCATTTTTTTTTTCAAATTTTGCAATAAATTTTTTCTTTCCAAATTAATCGTCATTTTTTCTAATTTTGTTTAGTTTCGATGACATGATACTCCAATTTTTTTTTCAAAATCGGACATTATTATTTTTGTTCTAATTGAATTTGTATGTGTGTGTGCGTGTGTGTATATATATATATTACATTTAAAAATGTATAAATACATTTTTTTATTTAAAATCATAATTTTTTCTATAAATACATAATTTTTTTATATTCAAACCGTAATGTTAATATATAAATATGTATTAATTATATTAAACGTACTTTTCAAGTATTATTTGGCTATGTAGCGCTGATATGGTATGTTGACGGAGTAACACAAAACCATATTTGAGATAATCCAAGAAAACTTAATTTGGATTTCATGTAAAATCCAAAATTAAAAAACATTTGTTTGATGTTCTTGAGAAAAAAAATTTATATAATAATGTTAAGTGAAGAAGTATGTATGTAAGAGCAAATATATATATATATATATATATATATATATATATATATGTAAAACGAATGGTCCCTTCATAATTAAAGTGATCCCTGGACCCTTATGTTCTCGATATCATATTTGCTTATGTGACTCTACATTTTATACCTCCAAACTCATTTTAAAGATGCATATTTAATAAAAATAAATAAATACAGTTATAATATAACTAATACATAATTATACATAACATTATGGTTTGAATGTAAAAACCTTATATTTATACAAAAAAATATGGTTTTTAAATAAAACAAAATACATTTATATAGTGTTAAACATTATATATATATATATATATATATATATATATATATATATATATGATTTAAAATAGAAAATTATCAAAATTGAACAAAATTGAAAAAATAATTTCGATTTTGAACAAAATTTTTTTTTGTCAAATTTGAAAAAAATAAAAGTTAGTTTCAAAATTGAAAAAAAATGAAAAACGTAGCGTCTTTTATACATTTTTTTTTCAAATTTGACACGTTAATATTTCATGTCATCAAAAATGACATGTCATTATGCCACATTCGTAGGCAATTGTGATGATCGGTCAAATGGTAAAAAAAAAATTAAAATTGGAAAACGTAGTGTTCAATTTGAGACAAAAAATAATGCAGTGTCAAAATCAAAATTTTATGTAAACTTAGTGTTGTTTGTTTTTTGAAGCTAAACATATAGTCTGTGAAACACATCTACAACCCTCTCAGCAGAAGAGATGGATCAAACGTCTGCAAACTGCAACAAGAAGTTGGTTTTTTTTTTAACGTCTGTAGACGGATGAATTAAACTGAAATTAACCTTATAATAGTTGAAAATAGTTCTAAATTAAATTTTTATTTAGTTTTCGTCATATACAAATCGAATATAATGATTATTATGATGATATGATTTTTTAAAAAGGTTTATATAAAATAATTAAGCTAAATAAATGTTAAACAAAAATAAATAAAATTATTAATTAATGAACAACATGTTCATTTTGTTAAAATTTTCAAGATGATGATTATTTATTCACTTATCATTAATATGTAACACCCATAAAAATCAAGCAAATTTAAAACCTTTCAAACATCCAAAAACCATTAGTTATTACAAAATGTTTTCAAAATAGTTTAATATCAGAGTATCCCAGAACCCATAAGTCCAAAACACGAGGATGTGTACGGTCACACATTCGCCTTGCCAAGACATCTGGAGCACCTGAAACAATAAACTGAAACCGTAAGCAAAAAGCTTAGTGAGTTCCCCACAATAATACACATATAATCATAAACAGCATACTACGAGTCCAGTCAACCATCGGGTTGGAATACCCCAGGCCCACAACCAACAGGTTGGAATGCCCACACACTATGAGTCCAATCATCCTCGAGATGGAATACTCACGCCCCACAACCAACAGGTTGGAATGCCAACACACTATGGGTCCAATCAACCATCAGGTTGGAATACCCCAGACCCACAACCAACAGGTTGGAATGCCAACACACTATGAGTCCAATCATCCTTGGGATGGAATACTCATGACCCACAACCAACAGGTTGGAATGCCCAGGTCTATTAGCTTTCGCACAAAGCAGATAAACCTCAACCGCCAAACAAATATGTGCACATACAACAGATAATCACATAACAGTCAATAGACAACAAACTGATCTACCGGATCATACTACATAACATATAATATTATCCTACCCTCTAGGATATTGAACTAACAGATCATACCACATAACATATAATATTATCCTACCTTATAGGATACCGATCTAACAGATCATACTAGCATATCATAACCAGATAACAATCCAAAGGGCCGACCTTGGTACCTTAGACCCTTGAGTATAGTGAGGATAACTCGCCTGACACTGCTGAAGCCCCGCATATAAAACTCCAGCTGCTGGTTGACAGTTTCCCGAACTGTCAACATCAAACAATACCCAATTAATAATTGGTTCCAAAACCAAGGTCTAACTCACACTTCAAAAGCCTAAAAGCCAAGTAATGGGCCAAAGCCCAACATATGGCCTAATTTTCCAAATTGGGCCCAAACCTCTATATGGTCTTTTCTTAAGGCCCATCCAATTATTATGGTCCAAACTCTTGGTATTCCCATAGCTCACTATCACATAATCATACATGCCTAAACTATGGTCCATTTATGGCCCAATTTTCCAAATTGAGCCTAACCCCTCATATGGGCCTTAACCTAACCCATCAACCTATTCTAGTCCATATGATAACTCTCGGA